CATGAGGGGCTCTCTATGCTCACATGCATGGCCCTCTATGCTCACATGCGTGGCTCTCTATGCTCACATACATGGCTCTTTCCCTAGCTTCTTTCCGGGGTATACTTGTTGTCCCTTGTTTTTACTATGTAGTAAGGTTTTCAGCATTATCCATTTAAACCTCTTGAGCTACTAACCTGTTCGCCTGTAACTTTGGTTAAATAGTACCCTTTCTGATCAGGCCCTCCAGTCGCCCGCACTGAAGAGAAGCCGGCTCTGATTTAGCAAATGTGACTTATGCCAATTGCTACACTCTTCTTCGAGGAGCTTGAGCAACAGGGATGGGCAAGGCAGTGGTACATTCCCCGCTCTCTGGGCTCCCTTTGTTCTTGCCGTCACAGTTACCCTCTTACTCAGAACGCAGTTGGGTAAGAAAGGACCAAACATTTCAGAGGAACAAATGACCATTTAATTTAGGCTGACACTACCCAGTTGGTGGGGGTGAGGGTCCTCTCTCACCAGGGACGGGCAATGCTCACCACTTAGGTTGGGCAAATTCCCAAGATGCCATTTGACACAGTAATGAGGGACAGAAAATATGCTACTCACCCCCACTTGAATTAGCTGGAAACAGAAGCACACTCCGATTTAGTTAAGTTAAACTCAGCTGCTGGGTCTGTTTAAAGATTATCTTAGATTAAATGTCAAGGAGAAGCGAAAGCCCAGCTTCCACTACTTTCCCTAGCAGTGAGCTTTTTCTGAATTCTCTAGTTTTTACCAAGCAAAGAAATCTCATAGTAAGCACAAGGGTACACACAGACACAGCCTACGCACCATACCCCTGTGATGGGCTGCATATGACAACAACTTCACATTAAGGCCAGGAGCCCTGAGAAAGAAAGTTTCTCTATAATTATAGTAATTATACCATTTAAATAGACCACAGACTACACATCCTCAGGAGGTCTTATGACATGAATAACAAAAGCACTCAGATCAGACACACACAGGTAGGTTCTATAAGGACAGTGGCAGGGAGAACCCTCCTTCTCTCAAGAGATACTCTCGAACACAGGATTTGCCAACTTCAGACATGAAGGGATTTTTTTTTTTGACAGTGTTTCTCTGTGTAGCCCTGGCTGTCCTGGAACTCACTCTGTAGATCAGGCTGGCCCCAAACTCAGAAATCTGCCTGCCTCTGCCTCCCAAGTGCTGGGATTAAAGGCATGCACCACCACTGCCCAGCTATGAAGGGACTTTTACAGAGAGCTTAATTCAAACCCTTATTGTACGAAAAAACGTTCTAGAGAAATTGTGTCTTCCCCAAAATCATCAGAGCAGTTAGTAGCAAGGGCAGAACAAAAACCTGAATTTGTTTTACCGTTTTCTTCAGAAAAATTAGAAGCTGCTGTTCAACTCCACATGGCAGAGACGCTGTGGCTCTTTTATGGGTTTTTCTCAAGTTGTGTTTAAGTCTTTCTGTGTTCTATACAAAGAATTACTGACACGATTATAGAGAATTCTAAAATAGGACAAGGAAAATCATGTATGTGATCATAGTCTGTCATATTGCTCATCCAGAAGTGTAGCCCCAGTGATGTTCTAGAAACTGCCACCATAGAGTATGAGAGAGTACTGAAGTGGAGCCTGGATCCCTGACTCTGTTTTCTCTTGTTGGTATAGTTAACTGAAATCTGGGCCATCTCAGGATGGATTTTGAAAATTAAAAAAAAAAACATGATTTTCCCCCAAAAACAATCATATTTATAGGTCTGTTTTGATTTTGGCTTTTTCAAATAGTGTGCGCATGTTATGTGAAAACACAGTGTTTTGACATCCTAAGATAGCAACACTGGAAGTCCAGTTCTTCTCCAGCATGCAGATTATAACAGCTACATTTTAACGAGGCACTATGGTATAGACGCACAATGGAATTCTATCCACCATTCAAATGGAAACAAATCTCAGGAAAATACGGTAATTCAGATGGACCTAAAGGACACTGGCTTAAATGAAATCATCTGCTCGCAAAAGACAGCTACTGTGTGAGCCTACGTATGCAAGGTGTGTAGTTAGTTAGTCAGGGTCTCAGTTTCAGTAAGACATAAAGGCTGTGGAGATGGACTACAGCAATGGTGGCAGACACTGTAACAGTGACCACTCAAATAAACTTAAAAATGGCTGCTTATGGTTGGTTTAAGTTGTATATATTTTACCTTAGTAAAACTTAGAAAACAAATCCACTTCTGTCTTGCATTGGCCTCACTATACCCTCACACCTCACACCCACGTCCTCTCCCTGTGCAGTGCCTCCTGGTGAGGGGAATATGTAGTGATGTCCTACTGAGGACCAATATCATTTCCTTTCTATGTCTTCCCAATTAATTCCAGTAAGGACAGGTTGGAAAGGGCAGGGATGGGAGCAGTGTGACTTCTAGCTGGTTCTCACCCTGCTCTATGGCTCTCTGTTTTAAATCTCTCTCTTTTTAAATGGAATTAACTACAGAGTGGTTGTGTAAGAGGCTAGAGAAACAATGTGTCCATGTTTTGGGGTATGCGGTGAGACAAGCAAGCTTGGATGCATCTCGGGTTTGGGTACCAGTTTGAATCCTAAGCATCATCAAAGGTTTCATTATTTCTCTCCCTTGTTTTCCCTCCCCGTGAGTGTATCTGCCGTTGAGTCATGGCCATGCCACTCAATGATTAGCTCACTAGAATGAAGTCATCAGAGAACAACTTATTTTCCTCTGTACTCTTCCTACCAGCCACGAGAAATCCTAGCCATGGTTTTACTGCTGGGGCTGTCATTTTAAGACACTGATATACAAATATAATACTTACATTAACTGTATATGCACTCTGCTTTAATTGAATGATTAAAGGTTGTCAGTAACCTAACTAGGTATCCTGTACTACTGGCTACTAACCATTCAAACATACCAAAACTCATTGTACGTTGCTCCCACTATAGAAATAAAACCAAATTGGAAATCAGAAGAGGAGGAGGAGCCAGCTGGGATCCTAATGGAGTGCTTGCTGTCCATACTTACATGGTCTTTGGTATATTATAGAACCCCAAGCCCACTAGAGGGCCAGCATTTTATCTAGCATTCATTATAAAACCCAAAACACAGTACAGTGTAGTGAAGAGCATGAGTCTCAGGATTTGTGTTCAAATGCCAGCTCTCCTAGAGGGCTCCGAATGCCATGTGCCTCTGTTTTCTTATCTTTACAATGGATCTAAAATGGCACCTAGCTATAAGCACTTTTCTTGAGAGAAAGATAAATTATAATTCTCACAGCCTGATATGTTGCAAATGCTCCACTAATATCCTGTCTATCAATCTATCAATGAAGTAAATCCAATAAAATCACTTTGTACCTGCTCACTAAACACTGTACGATATTAACCCGTCATGAGTCCTGAAACACCAGAGGGTAGGAAATTCTTTCCTGTTTCCTACCTGTAGCTTTTAACTTTTCGGAATCCACTGGCTCCAACCATCCCATTACCCCATTAAAAAAACAAGGAGACTCCTCGCATTTTCTAAATATGAAAAAATAAAACACAGCGATACAGTGTCCGAATATTAGAATGATCCACTTTCAATGGGAATTCACCAAAAACAACCATTATCCCAAAACAACACGCTAATGACTGACAGTATATACAAAGAAGATAGGAAAGTCCCAAGGTCCATAGGATCATATACCTAATACCCGATACACCCCCACACAGTAAGAATTTCTAAAATAGAAGACGGAGCTGGTTCTTATTCTCAACTGAATGTATTTTTAAATCGAGCCGCAGGGAATACTTTTGTTTCTCTTCATGTGAGACTTGCACACAGAGTTCATGGAGTGACTTAATATCCTTCCTGCAATCACACTGGTATGCAGCGCCAGTATCCTTCACACATAGCCAGTTCCTGAACCTTCCCAAACAAATGCCCATTTCCAAGGAAACAATCTCAGTAAATGCTGCCACTAGAATATGTATTGTTCCTTTTGGAGACATTACAGTGAGATCTTTTAAGATTGCAGACTTTGAACTTCCCCTCTAAAATTCAATATAATCTCAAATTCATTTATCTAACTGGGAACTGTATTTTCATAATAGCTCTTGAAATTCCCGGTGGGGCCAATGTAATGGTTTAGTTAGGTTTGTAGTTAGGAGCTAGGTGACTATTTCCTGACTGTGGACAGATGTGTCTGTTTTTTAAATGGTTACCAGTTCAGTGGCTGCCTTCACATTCTTTGGATTTATACCATACAGGGCATGGTTTAAGTTTTAAGCCTTAAAAAAATAAAACAAAACAGAAAACCCATGAGTTTTATTAATGTTTGGGGTACACGAGTTTTTAATTTTTTTCCCTTGAGAATAGAAAAGGATCACTTAGCAGCCTATAACCAGTACTGTCAACTTGCCTTAGGAAAACAGTCTCCTAAGTGTGTTTAGTCATAGGCTCTGTTTTGAGGTGAAGAGTCACATTTATCCTTTAGCAAGAAAACAGTATCAACAAATCAGTGGTGACTATCCACACAAGCACACAGACAGGAAGAGAATGTAATTCAAGTTGTCAGTCCAATGGCCTTAAACTTAGATTCTCACCGTTTCCCTTCAATGAAGATGTACTATAAACTCAGGGCATTAGTCGCCAGCTCTCTGCTCTCTCCCTAATTAAACAAACAAGTGTCCACTTTTAAATGTGACCAGAGTATGAGTTTACCTGCAGAAAAACTTCCCAAGACACACACTGAGTAAACCTTTCTCATTTGCTCTGTTGACACATGGAGGATTAGGAATTCATGATTCACGTCCTACTGGAAATATTTTCGTGAGTTATGAGGCTCAGTGCTGTGACAGACAGCTTAGAACCTTAGTCTAAAGTTATTTGAAAGAATTCCACGCAGCGTGGCATACGAATCCGTGCAGTGTACAGCGCAAACAATAACTTTATAAGCAGCACAAGACAGAGCCGACAGAAATAAGCGGCACCTTGGCAGTGCCCGCAACTTACCTTGCTGAATTTTAGTCACTAGGTGATGGCGTGCTAGGATCCGGCTCATCCTGTAGGGAGAGCGTCTGGCAGTCTGATCAAATCGCAAGTACATCTCCTGGCTCTCAGGTGTCAAGGGATTTAGATAGTAGCAGCCTGCAGCCGGGGTCCTGGGCACCTGGCTGAACATCTCGGCAGAGTTTCCACTTGCCACCTCGGCTGCCGGTGGCTGTTCGCAGCTGCCTCCAGCCTCGGTCAAAGGCACCGAGCCCCAGGAGAGAGCCACAGATCCAGCGATTTTTAAAAAGAAAAAGGAGTGCCAAAAGCCACAAGTCAGAATTCCAACCCTCCGGGGCTCTCATGTGACCTCGGGAGCCAATCACAGGACAAGGAGAAAGTACTGGGCGTGTTCCGTGCGCTCCAAGCAGACGGCGAGGTTGTGCCAACAGTAGAGGAGATCCTTCACGCTGCTCTTAAAGCTAATAGTGAATTGGAGGCACCTGGATCTGACCAACCCCCACCCCCCACCCCCCCCTCCGACCCCAGAGCTGAGAGAGGAGAGGGCACAGAGAAGATAGGAGGGGACGAACAAGCCCTGGCATAGGAACTTTTTGAGGTCATGAAAGTCCTCAAAAAGAAAGAGTTTCGACTTTCCTAAAGTCAGCAGCAACTAGGTTTAATTAAAAAAAAAAAAAAAAGATAACGGTGTTACCTGCAGCTGTGTATTTGAAATACACCACTTGAAGTAAGTACGGTCGCTGGGTATAAAATGCTAGCCTTCATTACAACAGAATTAATCAAATAAAACGTTTCCAAAGAAAAACAAACATTTGGAGCATATGTTGGCACTAGAAGTAAATAAAGACTCGCTGGACCACCACGCAGTGGGGGGGCATCAGTAAAGATACTCTTACAAAAAGACCTAATGAGACAGCCTGACCATCCAGCCATGCTCCTTTAATTTGTCTACTTCCCCCAGTTTTTGATCACCACGAAACGACTGCAAAGTACTAGTCATATTGAAGCCGCTGCCAAGAATCACTACACAGGATGCAGGTGTCCTTGCAAAGACCCTGGATAAGCTGCTGGTCCACAGGGATAGAGTGGAAACTTATAGTACGTGCTTATAAAGGTTTTAGTAAGTAGTCATATGTGAATCGGTCTCAGTTTAAAAAGAAGACGAGAGAGAAGGCTAACATACCGCTAGTGGAACATTATTTCTGACTGGAGTGGTGGTAGCAAGCCAGAGCCAGATGTTTTAAAAAACAGAACCAAAATTCCCAAACCAAACAATAACAGAAACAGAGTCTAGGTGTTCCGACAGGAGAAGCTGGAGAGTTCTCTCTGCAGGAGAGTTCTGTATCCACATGTATGCAGGGGAGAGCCAAAGTGTGTGGGGGAAGAAACTGCTAGTCAGTTTAACCATAGCTGAGGACACATATGCGAGCAATCAGAATTTCTCTTCTCCAGTTTTTTCCTCTTTAGAAATGTCTGATGCAAACAACAACAACAAGTAGAAAACTTACTGAATTCTAAGCCTAGAGCTTAATAAATAGAGAGTTCTTTGGATTCAGAAGCACAAACACACACACATACACACACACATACACACACACATACACACAAACATACTCACACATACACACACACATACACACACATACACACACACATACACACA